CCCCCCCCCCCCCGGTAGCTTCATGTCCTCCTAAAGCCACACACATCAGTAAACTCAGACATAGGAACTATTTTTAATCAACTTAAGATGGAAAAGAATTGTTATAATAACCAATTGATGCATCGCAATCTTCAGAAAGTAAGCTTGCTTTGTGACATTTATATGCCTACAGACTTTCTTACTGGACAAATTCAGGCACTCATAAAACATGCTCTTTTCATTCCAAAACCAGAAGAGAGTTCTCTTTCAAGATCCATAATGTGTCCTCAAGGTTCGCCTTAATGGATATTGAGAAAGATGCACTCAAGCATGCAAAGAAAGCCAGCTTTGCTCTGCATAAATTTAGACCTCGTGAAAGCACAAAAGAGTTTAGTTCATTAGATTCTTCGTTAGTCAAAAGTTTGAAAATGATCAACATGTTCAAGTTCTGGGCGTTAAAAGTAAAAAAACAAGACCCACATTATACTGAGTTCTAAGCCACCATTAATAGAGCAAGTTAATAACACGTCCCAATCTAGAACTCTTCCCAACACTAGGTTATTTTAAAGAATAATTTTCTCCACGTTGGTTGTTCTTGCCCATTGAACCAGGGTGTATCAAAGAATGCACAAACTGTATAGTCTCCTCACCACGAAAGTCAATAACTCTGTACCACCCTTTGTAATGGCACGAACTAGCCATGTAGGCTCTCAGTTTTAAAATAATTAGGTTTTATGCTAATTCTCACTAGCTTCCTATAGACAAAGAAAGAAGACGCAGAAGAAGCAAGTGGAAGAAGCTGCAGCTAGAGTCTGCATCTCAAAGTGCAAAAATCGAGTAACGCTTTTTTTATAAATAGTTCATTGACCTATATACCTATGACCCATTAAACACGCTTTCTTGTTAAAGAGAATTAGCCATTTCCACACACCAATTGACAGTGTAGTCTTGGACCTATAATGTTCCATCAAATGAGTGCAGTGGAAAAAAATGTTAGAGACAATATCACCACTGCCAAAAGAAATAAACATCCCTGAATGTGATTTTCACACTTGATTTGTCCAAAAAGGAACAAGTTCCTGCTAATACTAGGCTTGGTTGGGGCATACATATAATAAGCTCATGAGCCAACCGAAAGTTTCCAGCTAAAGTGCTATTTTTTTCATGCATAAGTGAGGAAATGGTGGACATTATAGACAGAATGAAAAGATTAAGAACATGGATAGCAATAAGTACAAGGGTTGACCAAACTAAGTTTCCTTTTGAGAGAACAATGATTTCTACAATGGCACGCATTTTAGATGTGCTTTTCTTGAAAGAGATAAGATTGTAAATTCA